CAAGAAGCGTTGTCGAAGCTCCCCCCAGACCTCATCAATCTGCTAGCCGAGAAGGGACTCGCAAGTCCTTCTGTCACTACGGAAGGTCGACTGCCTGAAGAGCTCATGGCCTACGTGCGCGAATACTTCGAAGAAGCCAAGCACTCCCTTCCTATGGGTTTTCAAGAGGCAAGTGAGCATCGCAAAAAGCTTATGCAAGAAAGGGGCGCGTTTGTCCAGACCGCAGAGAAAGGATGGCAGAGGGCGACTTACAGCTTCTGTGAGCATTGAGACGCTGGCAGAACTTGATCAGAGCCTGAATAATGACAACTCTCGAATGGAACGGAGCATACGACAACGTATAGTGTTAGTTCTCGAGTAACGAATTGAGCTATGGCTGATCATGTTCCCTAACCCGCTGACATTGAAGTACTACTACCAACAGCTTCCTTGCGTAACGACTGTCGGGACGGCAACCCCGCAGAAACCTTTGACGTCCCAACAACATCCCATTCAACGTCGCTTCGACGCTTCACTGCTAGGCGCCATGCTCCGAAGTGTCAAAGGCACCTTGCCTTCCGTGTCGTTCCAATGCAACTCATACAGGCCGTTCTCAGCCTTCATGCCGTAGAATGACGTGGCAACCGTACCATCTTCACCATACAACATCACCGTGGAACCGTAGAAAGCGAAACCCGATGTTTGAGTCGTGGTGTTGCCAGTGCCGTTGTTGGGTGGGAGAAAGCCCACGCGCCTGTCGACCGATGATGACGAAGGAATGAAGAGAGCTGTATTTGACCAGGTGGGCTCACCGGTAGCGGTGGTAGCGTTGGGGTTTCCAATGAAGTGTTTGTTGGCATCGATTGTGACTATGTCTGTTAGTTGGGATGAACTTGGGTACGCGATGGCTCGAAGAAGCCGAACTTACAGGTTACGACAGCAGCATCGGTACTGTTGGAAAGAACAGGCTCTCCGAGGTATGCAAGACCATCGGCATAGAAGAGTGGCAAGCCACCAATGTCTTCACTGTATGCATACAGCTGGAAAGGCGTAGAAGCGACATCACGCTTGCGGGCGCCCAACACCGCGAGCGGGAGCAGAGCCAGCAGTGCGCTGCGCATGGCGATATGCATGATGAAGGAGTGTACGTTGAAGAATATTTTAAAGAGCGTCAGAAATGCAGCAAGAGTGTGAAGGGTGGTGGCAACAGCTAACAATCAGCAGTCCCAATGTCCTTATTACACTCGATACATCGGCCGAGTCAGTCTCTATCTCTACAGTCTCCTGAGCGACTCAGATGCATTACGACGTCTCCACGTATATTCATGACGCCTCGAGTGAAAACCATATCTCTTGGTATACTTCATTGGGAGGTCCCCGAAGGGCTACAAGGACCCGCTCTCGTACAGTGCGAATTGCGCTATCGAGGGTTGCATGCTGCCTGACTTCAATTGTTTCAATGCTCAGGCGTCGCGTAACCTCAGCCACTCAAAGCACAGATGCGATATGTAGTGCGAGTCGGAGCGGGTCTTATTTTTGGCACTGCCAAGCTCAAGCTAGAGAATGCTTGTCGTCCCCACTGTCGCGTATCTCTCTAGGTAGCGATCGAACCGTCTAAACGCAGATTCTACCCGTTTTTCAGTGGATATACGAAGAGTTTGTCTATTCGACTCCAAGTACCTCACTCCACTGAGTACCTGGCACAACCCAGCAACAACGGCGCGCCGACCTGTCATCACGGACGGCCCTTCCGCGGCGCTTCCTTCCTCCGATTCCGAGTCAGCAAACTCCGACCATGCGCAAAGATTTCTCAACAATCGATAATGCCATGGGCAGATGCGGCGGAATGGCACCGATCGAGTGGGGGCTCACCTGATGCGCCGGTAGACTTTGCGCATACTACTCAGTAACCCCACGGCCGTTTTTAGACGCACAATACCGCTAGCAGATCACCGAGCAGCCGGTGTACCTACGCCAAGTGATGCCCTAAGGGGCGTCTGAAGTTTGGAGTAGGGATCAGGGTAGTCTTGACCCACGATAAACAATGAGACTATCTGCGGAGGAGAACGAAAGAAGAGTACGAGCGAAAGTTTCGATTATCATGACGTCCTTGAGTCGTTGAAGACTGCACAGGTTGTGCCCCTAATAGATTCCTCGGATAAGACAGGCTATGAAGGTAGGATGCAAGGGCGATATAAAAGAAGCGAAGACTTGTTGTTGTGGAAAAACATCAGCTTGTCTTTACATTCGTTTGACTGAGCTCAGATCACTCTTTGAGAGCTTCTTTCTAGAGTCTTTCGCATCTTGTCATTCGCTTTAGACCTCACTTCCACTCATTACGCGATCGTTGGTCGTTGTCTCTACACATCTTCTTTTTTCGAGTACCAAATACTTCTAGGTATCTACATCATGTTATTACGGGGTGCTTTCGGTCTTGCAGCCTTGGCTGGCTTTGCGACCTCTTCTCCTTTCGTTTCGAACTTGAGTAAGTCACACATCATTCTCAGCCCGAGGACGCCCACTAAACCAGTTCCAGTGCCGAGAAGAGCATGCGATGGCAACACTGCCTCCACACGCTCAAAATGGTGCGATCATTCCATTGAAACCGACGCGTCCATCGAGATTCCAGACACCGGGGTGACCCGAGAGTACTGGCTTGAACTCACCGATGTTGTGGTAGCACCTGATGGCGTGTCTCGCACAGCGATGGCCATCAATGGCTCCATACCAGGACCAACGCTCATCGCAGACTGGGGCGACACAGTCGTTGTTCATGTGACCAATTCCCTTACGACATCCATGAACGGCACGAGCATACACTTTCACGGTCTTTGGCAGAAGAACACCAACGATCAGGATGGTGTGAGCTCCATTACACAATGCCCAACGGCACCAGGCGAGTCAATGACTTACACCTGGAGGGCTACTCAGCACGGTTCAACTTGGTATCACTCGCACTTTGCGCTTCAGGCTTGGCAGGGCGTCTTTGGCGGTATTGTCATCAATGGACCTGCGACGGCGAACTACGACGAGGACCTGGGCATGCTCTTCCTTAACGATTGGGATCATCAAACGGTTGATGAGCTCTATCTCTCTGCCGAGACGGATGGCCCGCCAGTTCTGGACAATGGTCTGATCAACGGTACCAACACCTTTGGAGACGGCGGCCATCGTTATAACGTCTCCTTCGAAGCTGGAACTTCTTACCGTATCCGCCTCGTCAATGCCGCTGTCGACACCCACTGGAAGTTCATGATCGACAACCACACCATGACTGTCATTGCATCCGATCTTGTACCTATCGAACCTTATGAAGCTACCATTGTCAGCATCGGTATGGGTCAACGATACGACGTCATTGTAACAGCTGATCAGGGAGACGTGGCCGACAACTTCTGGATGCGCGCGATTCCGCAGTCTGCATGCTCCGAGAACGACAACGAAGACGACATTCGCGGTATAGTCTACTATGGTGGCTCGGCTGGAACGCCAAGCACTTCCGCATACGATTACGAAGACAGCTGCTCCGACGAGACCGAGAACCTTGTGCCGCACATCCCAAAGACTGTCGGGGCAACATCGTCCACAGCCGATGAGCCTGTGTCTGTCGGCCGCAACGACGAGAACGTGTTCAAATGGGCTCTGAACAGTACATCCATGGTTGTGTACTGGGACGACCCCACTCTCGTGCAAGTTATGCGCAAAGAACGGACGTTCGAGGCCTCCAACGCCGTCTTCCACCTACCGCGCGAGAACGAGTTCGTCTACGTAGTCATCAGCACCAACATCGGAGTACCCCATCCCATCCATTTGCACGGCCATGACTTCTTCGTCATCGCTCAGGGTACTGGAGAGTACACCGATGACATTGCTCTTAAGCTCGACAACCCGCCGCGCCGCGACACCGCGATGCTGCCAGCATCGGGTTACCTTGTCATCGCTTTCGAGACTGATAACCCAGGCGCCTGGCTAATGCACTGCCACATCGTACGTAGCCCTCTTCGTTTGCACTTATATCACTTTACTGACATCCATACAGGGCTGGCACACATCCGAGGGCTTCGCCATGCAGTTCGTTGAGCAGTACGACAAGATCGCGGGGATAACCGACAAGGATGCGTTGGAGAGCCAGTGTGATAGCTGGAAGGCTCATAGCGGGTCTGTTGGTATCCTGCAAGATGACTCTGGTGTATGAGGCGTAGTGTCGTTCTGTCACGTGGTTACCCTAGAGTCCTCGGGCTCACCTTCCATGCGAGACTAGCTTTTTGGCACTTATAATACACACAAGATCCATCCAGTATCCCACACTCTTGCTTTATGCCCACGCGTACCAGTGACGGCGTTCTTGACCTCCGTTTCGCTTCCATTCATCATCCCCTGCGCCATCAGTCCATGCGAGGTCGGCCCCCGCTTAAACGCCGACACTGTGTCATGATCGCATCTAGCCAATTGTCATATGCTGGTGGCGCTCTTACTCGCAGCTCTGTTCAATCTAATCGAAACATTCAATCTACAGCGGGAAGCGCGTACCTGCAATATCGTGTGGCACAGCTCTCTAGCATACGTCATCCGTCATCAGCCGAACTTCGTCACCTTCGCCCCGCGCTGCCGTCTTACCAACATCCTCATCACAACGAATCGACTTTGAGTTCTTTAGCGACCCGCCGCAAAGCAGCATCTCTCGTGTCGCCTCTGGACCATTACGCGACGTCATCCTTCCCACATGCTGCCCCCATCATGGCGAATCCCCCCAACAAGTACGTAGACGTGCGTCCCAACTCTGGTCATCTCATGTTTCATAGTGCTTCCTTTGACTATGCCTCTTTGTCACTTATTAGAATGCTGGGGCCGCTGTACTACGACTAAACTCCACACATGCTGCATCACCTTGCCGACGACATCATGGCCTCGTGTCGAGATCTGGCCCCTTCTAAGAACTGCCGCCTGCTATGTCCAACATTACGGTGCCGCAACTTTCGGCCCCGATTATCGAAGCATCTACAGGCCGATCGAACAGCTCCATGGATATGTGCGCCTGCCCCGGAACTGGCACAGTTGATGGTCTCCGTAATGGCCTACCCGCACTCCAATGGAACCTTGCATGGTTGAGAATCACGCCGGATGTAAACTCCATGGCATGCCATACGTAGATAGTTGCACGACAGGCGTTTCGGTTCAAGACAGGAGGCCCTGGTGAACTCACGCCGCTCAACAGCATGAGGGCGCTGGTTGCATCATTACGCAAATCCGGACCCAAAACCCAAGTCGCCGGGGTAGAAGGCCCTTCTGACATTGAGTATTAAGAGATATGACTATCTTCAGTATGACTGAACTACATCTCCGTTACTTACACCACTGGCTCTATCATCCACATACAAAGTAGACATCACATTCTACCCTTTCTTTCGCTTCTCCGAATCAATCTTTGCGTGACTACAATGCGCATTCTTTATCTCTCCCTCCTGCTCTGCGTTGCGCAAGCATTCATTCCGTCGTTTCTAGCTGACACCACCACTAGAGACGCTGAGAATAATCCTGCGCTTGAGCGAAGGGAAACCGACCCTCCTGTCGAGCAACAGATCAACACCTTAACAAGTCCCGCATTGACCAGTGACCACTTGCCGCGACATGAGCCGCAAGACCGCGATATCACTGCCGTTCATGAGAACGCAGGCGAGAGTGATAGCCACGAACCTCCTGGGAATCGGCAAGGACACATCATCACCCGTCGAGATGTGGTCGCTTACATTGCTGTGGTCAAGGATGACTATGACATTGAGAAGTTCCGAGACTTCTTGAAGACCAAAGCGGAAGACGGCAATGACATCTACCAGATCGGTCCGGATAACAAGATCCTCGGATACGGGAACGTTACTTTGACTCCAAGTTCGAAAGCCGATGTAGAGAAATACGAAGGCACTCTCGGTCTGCTGGATGATCTTCCCGTGACATTCCATCGAGCCGTGCCAACGAAAAGCGCGTCTCTTGAAGTTCACCCGAGCGCCTATCCATACGAGAACAGCGGCAAACTCTCACGCAGAGCATTGAAATGGAAGGCCCAATATCCCGCGGACGAAGCTTTGGTGATGGATAGTGAGTATGAGTAAGTCGAATGTGATGCCATATGTCTTCTTGAACTAATCGAAGGTTATTGTTTAGTGGTGGCACCCAGACACTCGACTTCGTATACCCTGAGAACCCTGGTCAGGGAATATATGTCTACGTGATCGAATGGGGCATTCAGATCAGGGTCAGGAATGTAAGTAACCCTATCTCTACAGCCGTCGCATCGCTAATTCCACGCTTGCAGCCTGACGATGAGCGAGAATTCAAGACAGACAACGATCGTGTCCTACAAACTACGAGGTCTCTTCAACGGCATGCGAGTCCAGACACAGACGACAATACTGTCAAGCCATCTCACGGAACCCAGGTCGCTTCAAAAGCTGTGGGCAAGAAGTACGGGCTTGCGAAAGAGGTATGTTGTCAACGCTGCAAAGCGTTTCCGATTCATGCTTCTGCCTCCATCTTGTCCTATCCTGAAGGCAGGGCAGTATCTGCTCAGCCAGCCGATTATTCTATGCAACTCTGACAGGATCGGTGCATTCAAGAACACAGCTAACATCGCACCCAACTTTCTAGGCGACACTAGTGTCGACGAAGGTCATGCCTATAAGCGGAGATTGGGAAAATGCAATGTGGCTGATCGTGGAAGACATCAAGAGGAACGACCGTGCGGCGAAGAGCGTTGTGACCACATCCATGGCCCTTGGTAAAGGGATGACCGCCGAGGAAGCGAAGAACAATAAACAAAGCCAGAAGCTGTACGGAAACCACCTCCGTGAACTATCGAATCTTGGTGTTCCGTTTGTGGCAAGTGCTGGAAACGACGCAACGGATCCTAACCGGAAGCTGGTGGACCAACTTCCTATGTTGCTTTCAGGTGATGATATCCCTCTCATCATTGTTGGCGCTTCAGACTACGATGGCAAGAAAGCCGACTTCTCGCAAGCCGGTCCACTCGTCACGATTTATGCGCCGGGTGTTGACGTTGAGTGCCAAACGAAGGAGGATAAAAAAGGTGCAACTGTACAAGGGGCTTCAATAGGTAAGCAAACGTCCTCCACATCTCCACTGCTGTGTACTCGAATCTGACAAGCGACTCCGGAATAGCTGCGCCTCAAGTTGCGGGCCTTATAGCCACGTACTTGTCCTACGAAACTAAGCCTTGGGACGACACCAAGACTGGTGTCGAACGCGTGAAGGCCATCCGAGATTATCTTACCAGTGAGAAATCAAGTTGGGTGCGGGATAGGGATGATCCCAACAGCGGCATCCGTGTGATTTGGAACGGGGCAGATGCGGCCGCCCACGGGGATGACGACGATGACGAAAGCCCGAACGACTCTGATCCACCTCCATCGAGCCCTCCACCTCCGTCCAAACCATCTCGCAAGAACAAAGCACTTTCAATCATCTTCCAAAGGTATTTTGATGGGGTCTGGACCGACAACTCCTGGTTGTTCTTCGAAAGCGATTACGGCAAGTCTTCTGTATGTCGCGATGAAAAGCAAGCTACGAGAAGCGAACCAGCAGGAGACGATTACGATATGGTCAAGAACCCTCCCTGGCCTGGAGGTACGTACGAGATGAACGACCTCATCGACGGCGTCGAATGCGACTATCTCAACGATGGAACCAATCCTGGATCTCTTTGGTGTCAAGATTGGGATGCGCCATCTCCGGAGGACTCCGAAGGCCCTTTGCCTAAGGACCTAGAGATCAAGTGCAAAGAGGAGGAGGTGAGATGGAAGAGTGAAGCTGAGAGCTGTTCGCTTGGACCGCTCATAAACAGAGACCACCATGCCGTCGTTACGTGTGACTGGTAGCTATCGCCAACGATGCGGTAGAGATGTGCTAAACAGCTTTCCTCGGTATTTCTTTCGCTGAATTGTTTGGTTCGGTCTTTTCCTTCTCGGTACCTGATCCTCAGTCACGCTCGCTTTTGTTTGCGACATCTATTAGCTCTATGTTCTTGCTGAATACAACACGTACGTCAAAGCGTTGCTTGTGTGCCGATGAGCCCAGAAATTTCGAGATTAGCTTCCTATCCACATACACCTTTGGTATAAGGATGATAAGCCGGTGCAAAGAAAACCGCATTACGCCGTCAGTGTAATCCACTCGGCATCTTCGTACGCGTGGCTGCTCCGTTCAACGCGATGTTGTGAGAAGGTGACGCGTGTGCACGGCTCTCAGAGCCGGGCCACAGAACGCCCGTGTAATCTCCATAGTAAATCCGTGGTATCTCCGCCCATCAATGCGACCACGATCGTCATTCTTCAGTGCGATGCACGCCAGCATCCTCGATGATTGGGCAGCCACGGAGGAAGCTGTAAAGACGAACATCTGCGGGTCCGCGCTGCTCCATGGGCGAAAGCTCTGCGATGCGCATGCTCGATGCCGCCCAGTGACAGAAGATTAGGCCGCCAACGATTGATATCATAACGAAAGGGTATTCGAGATTCGCGAAGGAAAGATTGGCGAAAGGCCTGAAAACGCACTTAGCGGTTTGTGGCCTGTGAAAAAAACAATGGGGACAGCAACGTAGTTGAGTCATGCAGCTCGCAACAAACCATCAGCGGTGGGTCATGAGAGCGAAAGGGGCGATTGAGTAAAACTTTGTTCATTTTTCTTTTTGCTGCTATGCCCAACTTTGAAGGATTCATGCAGGTCAGGTGCTATGTAGATCATCGAGATCAAACCCTCAAACTCGCTACGTTTTGCGCCAAGAAGTCATGTGTATCACCCCTAAAGTCGTCATCGAGGTAGCTGTTCTTGTTCGCTCCAAAGTTGATCAGCTTCCTGCCTTCACTCCACTTCGGCCAGTCCATAAAAGTGTTGCCCTCATTGGGGTCCAAGTTGTAGACGAATGAGTAGTAGTAACCTCTAATAGTCTTCGCGGCATTGTTGGGCAAGATGCCATTGAAGACTTGCAGGATGTCGGAGCCATGGAACGTTCCTAGAATGGGTGTACCGAAATCGTATGTCGCGAGATAGGACCAGGATGGTACATCGGGAGCGACTTGTCCAGTGACTTCCAAGAAGAGGCGACGCGTGAGGGTGAAGGTAACGTCGCCGAGAATAGCGGAGACGCGCTTGAACTGCGGGTAGAAGTTGTTGAGCAGGCCGGTGCGGAAGGGCGAGCCGTCCTCGGTGATAGTTTGGTAGCTGCCTACTAGCTGTTCGACTTGCGCTGGCGAAGCATTCTGGAAGAAGATGGTTGAGAGATAGGTCGTTACTTCCTTGGTCGTAGTCAAATTCGATGTGAAGAGACCAAAGAGTGTACCCTCGTCTTCCTGGTCACCAACGATGAAGGGTACTTTGGCGTACTTTCCAGCTTTGACAAGGGCATCGGGAGAATCCGAGAGGGCCTTTCCATCAGGACGAGGGAGATAGGAAAGATTGACCGTGAAGTAGCCCAAGATACCCGGGACGGTATTGGCGGCATTGAGGAACTTGGTGTATGGCACTGTGCGGAGACACGCCAAGGTATCGGCAGAGCTGGCACATCCCGCTGCTTCAACGACCTGGGAGAGTTTAGCATCGTGTTATGCGGCAGGGAGTAGGATTGAACACATACCCTGTCGTAAATAGCTTGACCTTTGGGGCAGTCAACGGGATCAGCTGGAACTATAGAACCCGAGTTCATGATGCCAGCTCTGAATAGCGGCTTGCCATTGTAGTTGTTGTCGCCATCGTAAAGCATCATCTGATCCAACACAGAGATGGCACCTGCGCTCTCCCCCCAGATCGTAACCTTCTCAGGGTCTCCTCCGAATGCGGCAATGTTGTCAGCAACCCATTCCAAGCCCAATCGTTGGTCTAGTAGCCCTAGATTGGCGGAGCCATCGGCTAGTACCTCTTTCCCGGGCATGAAGCCAAATCCGCCCACGCGATAGTTGACTGCCACAAATACGATGGGCTTGCCTTGAGCGACTGATTCGGCGACAAGGCTTGTTCCATCGTACATTGCAGTAGATCCAAGTTCGAAACCGCCACCAAAGATCCAGAATAGTACAGGAAGCTTGTCGCCAGCTTTGGTACCCGCTGGGCGCTGTACGTTGATAGTAAGGCAGTCTTCTCCAGCATTTGTGACGGTCTGAAGAAGTGGTAGGTTTAGGATAGTGCCTAAGACGTTGGTGGGGATATTCCTCTCATCTATGCTGAAGAAGAACTGTGGGCATGCTTTTGGAATGCCGGTTCCGTCGACCTTTCCGAGAGAGGAAGTTATGGGCTGGGGTGGTTTCAGTCGTAGCTGGTCAATCGGGGGCTGTGCGTATGGTATGCCTTTGAAGGACTCAACACCCAATACGTTGATGCCAGCAACCGTGGCTTGAGGCGAGGGAGCCACAACGGTAGGGTTTGCTCGTTTCTCCAGGGGTGCTGCGACTGCTAGAGCCAAAGGAAGCAACGAAAGAAGGGTTGCTAGCTTCATAGTGAGTAGTTGTGCGTTCGACTCGTGGTTGTCGAATCAAATGAAGTTTTTGTTTCTGGTGACTGCTTCTGCCATCGCTGTGCAAGGCACGATACTTAACTCGCCCGGTGGAGAAGATATCACAAGCCAGATACTACGCTTCACAACGAACCTCGGACAATGTCAAGGTCTCCTGCGTCCGGACGAAGAGCGATTTGGAAAGATTCAACGTAAGTTCAAAGGCCGCCGTGGCTGCAGATACACCCATGCTTCAATAGCATCCTCCCGGAATTTTGGGTTGCAGATCGCTCTCATTTTGATGGAAGTGGGGTCTGACAGCCTTGTGAGGTGACACGGTGCATGAAGAACATCGTGCGCTGACCTATCCGAACTCGCAGTTCAGAGCGTCAGCCAGGGGAAAGAGCCACAATAGGCTTGGATCGCTGATGGATAGCTTCCGGCGCGTATTGTCTAGGCAGCTGGTCATGAGGTGTCGGCGCATCTAGCGGACGAGTAGTAATCCAGAGTTTATGGTTTTGCGCCACATCAGTCTTTACACAAGCCGTCCTCGGAAGTTCTCTGTTTGCGCTTTCGACAAAACGCGACTGACCTGAGTGCACCGACTATGAGATGTGTAGTGGAGGGACGTGCAAGGTAGGATATCGACGCCAAGAGTGGCATTGACTGCCGGACCGCAAACGGATGCATTCTCCCGGTCTGTGGGTGGGTGTATCGACTGAATCGCCATCGTTGTTAACACGCTCGGGAACCAGCCATAAACCGTTGGCTTGTATTCTGATGACGGAGATGCTGCCTTTCAAGGGGTGACTACTTCGCCCCGCGTGGACAAAATGCGGGGTATCCACGATGGGTCTCCCCACGATCTCGGCGAATCCATCGCTCGATATATTGGTGTTCAGCGCCTTACTTGCGGGCAAGGCTGACGCCTCGGTAGTAGAGAGACGCCACAAACTTACGCAAACTCAAATTGCATGTGAGAAGACTCTGAGAGGTTTCGAGAACTCAGCGCACCGCGCCAACGCCCGGGTGCACTCCGATGGCTGTTGGACGTGGAGCCGGTAACGGTAGTTGATGCTAGCGGAGCGTATTCATCCGTATAGAAAGCTTTGACAAATCTTGGAATGGAATTTACCGTGCATTCGGTATGGGCGCGCTCGCTGAGCTCGTGTGATAAAGGCAAAGAGGCTGCTATGACGTGGCCATAGGCCCAACAGACTCAGTAAGATCGCATGCAAAGGAAGGCAGGGAGAGGGGAATGCTGTCGAATTTCTCAACAATGCGAGTCCGCATGTTGGGAGTCGCATCCGTGTACAAAGCTCAGGTGCGAGGCACGCGAGAATACCATCTCAGCTTTGGGGGCCAGTGCGGGATTACTAAGCGTTATCTCCGACTCAATCGAGGGGATTCGAGGCTTCGTCCCAGTGCAACACTAATACTTCAATTTCCATCACGGCTGTTGGATTTGCTATGTGCCATCTGGACTTGCGACCAAAACGATATAAATAGGTCGGTACTCGTTTTCAGTCGCACATAACACGTAACCAGTATCAAAACAGCCACGGGGACTGTTCAATCATCTTGGCCTCATCGCCATCTCTAGCAACCCACTCATCTACAAGATGGCGGAGGAACACGGCAATCTCAAACTGCTGCGATGGGGCACACCTGCTTCCGATGTCTGAGCTACGTATACGGTATCAAGAATGAGCGCTGCCACTGTCTCTCTTCGTAGCTATCTGCTGAGGCGACTCATGCCACTTTGCTACGGACGCAAACTTGTTGTTGGGTAACTTCTTGGCACATCTCTGGATACACTTTTGTGTCCATATCGAGATACATTCAAGGTTTGAGGTCGAACAAAGCGAAGTAATGGTCCCACAAGGGATGGTACATATAACCAGCGCTTACATGCATCCGATATTACGCGGTGGTAGGTGTCACTGTGCGTGCTTACGTGCGTAAGTAATTTCCCGGTCACCGGGGGCCTGAAGGATAGGTTCAGATATCCCTAGCGAATTCTTCTGCGCGAATGTCTCGGCCGCATCATCTCCAATGTCGTATTTCAACATCGAGGTTGAGCCCATTCGCTACAACAGCCAATGTGTTAGTTTTACCGAGTGGGTCTCCTTGTTCACTTTGTGTCTTGCCCCATTGATCGCGGTAAGTCTAACCTGCGCTATACTCCTGCCTGAAGATAAAGTGCTAATGGAAGTCGTGCTTTAGCATATCATATCTGGTACACCTACAATATCGTATCTGACAGATCGGCGACCGAGATGGTACGATCGACTATGCGGCTATAACCCGACATCAATAATTTGGAGATACGCTGCGATAGCTGATCGACGCATTCGCGCTGTCCAATGGAGTCGTCAGGATTTAGCAGCCACC